CACGTCATTGTAGTTGTGCTTTTAAAGTTGTAGCAACATTTCGGCAGCATCTCATCTGCCATCATCAGGCTTCTGTATAGTGTTGACTCACAGATGAACACTATGATTCAAAGATGAACACTATGACTCACAGATGAATACTATACAGAAGTCTGATGATGGCAGATGAGATTCTGCCGAAACGTTGCTACAACTTTAAAAGCACAACTACAATGATGTGGGAAAATACCCAAACAAAGCTGAATGCCATATATATATATATAATCATGATTAATTAAATTAATTATAATTAATTCATAATTAACTCCACATTCTACTCAACAAAGCCTTAGTACAGTATTTAATTAACAGAAAGCAATAGTTCTTAGCCAATTTTTCTGTATGCAAAAATGAATAATATGATATGAATAATGTTGAAGTTTCTCTTCTTGGAGTATGTTGTCCACATAATTGTCATAGAGACATCCTTGAAAAGTTGTTATTTAGGCTTAATGTAATTATCATGGTATTTATCTTTAATTAAAAGAATGTTGTTACAGGTTTATTCTCATTTAGCACACAACATTTAATGCATAAGTTATGTATATTTTTGACAGACATGGTAATATGATTTAAAAGGACTTATTGTATTATTATTTTTAAAAGCTGCAGTACAATATTTTTACATCTAGTTGCTATAAAATAAGCTTCAAATAAGCTAGATTTTTCCATTGCAAAGCATCAAATGTTCTCCCAGGATGCCCATCCATGCAATAATCAAGTATTTTTCATATCAGCTAATATCTATTTTCAAAGTCCTATCTGTCTTTAGTGATCTATGATGGAGTTCTGAGAGACTGAGAAAGAAGCTGTCAGTTTGCAAAGTATTATATAGTCAAAACATTTGTAAGATCCCATTGCTTCAAGAGGCAGTCGGGAACAGAATCCTTGCCCTACCAAATTTACTGATAAGCATTATCTTAAAACATACGTATCCAATCTTCAAGATCATCAAGCCCCTAGCAGCGGCTCGCAATGAAGAAGCCAAGTTTTTCAGATAGTCTTATTAACTACATTCTATCACTTCCTCCTACAAAGGAATGTACAGATGATCTAGTCCTGAATTATTTTGCAAGCTGCCATTGTCTTTCTCAGACTCTAACTCAAAGGTAGTCAACCTGGTCCCTACCTCCCACTAGTGGGCATTCCAGCTTTCATGGTGGGCGGTAGGGGTTTTGTGCCCTACTTTATAAATCACCATTACTGTGGAACCAGTGGGTGGTTAGAGACAATTTTACTACTAACAGAGACACAAAAGTGGGCGGTAAGTATAAAAAGGTTGACTACCCCTGCTCTAACTAGTCAGTTATAGCATGGTAGAGAACTCGCCGCATCACGTTGCCATCATGTGATGTTTTGGGACATTTTTCCCATTCGTGGAGCTGGGGTGGGCATGGCCTGCGCATGACACATCCAGCCCATGGGCTGCCAGTTTGACACTCCTGGTATAGACCACAGACAAGAGTCAAATTTATTTCCCTTTATTTCAGGGAGAAGTTTATTATACAAAAACAAAGGTTTGTTTTCCAATGCAATACTGTTTTCTAGTTTTTCTCCATTATTTATATCTTGGAACTCTTCTGTTCCTCACCTTTTATGCAGGTACACACCAACGCATGGCCTTCAAAAATATTCCCGCTGTACCTTAGTCCTTGGCTAATGAAAAACCTGGCATTAAAGTGAGATAAGGGACAGGGTTATACTGACTGGTGTGAAGCTCTCCTAATCATCTATGCATTCATGCAGGGTATCACAGTGCAAACACCACTTGTCAGTTAAGAGTAAAATTGCTCAATCAAGCATTATGCCCTGCAGTTGTCTGAAATTAGTTAATTGTTGATAGCTTTAGAGAAATTGCTAGCTATTCTTACACCTTGTAGAAATTGATTGGTTGAATGTGTGCCATCACTCAGTGTCGATTCTTAGTGATAATATAGGTAGATTTTCTCCTGGACATTGTGTCCCTAACCTGATCCTTCACATCTTCCAATGCTGCATTTATTGCCACTGAATCCATACATTTTGCTGCTGATCCCCTCTTTTTATTTCCACCTCTCCTAGCATTGTAGACATTTCCAAGGTTAGATCTTTGATACTATGACCAAAATATAATAATTTGATCCTGATCATTTATGCTTCAAGTAAAAATTGGGTTCATATGTTTATCAAATGTATATATTAAATTAATGGAAGATTTAGCTGAAAAGTAATTAGATCTTTAAAATATAAACTGTTATATTTAGCAAATGTTTGACCAGCACAACATGAAAATGTCAACTGGAACTCTATCTTCCTTTCAGAAACATGATGGCCATTTCACAGTCATCCAGCTTGTTGGGATGCTTCGTGGAATTGCTTCAGGCATGAAATATCTCTCAGATATGGGTTATGTACATCGGGACTTGGCAGCTCGGAATATTTTGGTCAACAGTAATCTTATGTGCAAAGTCTCTGACTTTGGATTATCACGGGTACTAGAGGATGATCCTGAAGCAGCTTATACAACAACTGTAAGTTTATTTGGAGCTTTTATCTAACACAGAAAGGTCACTCATAAGGGTGAGAGTGGAATTTTTTATGCATGTAGTAATATACAGCTCTTCCATAGCCTATAATATACAATATATAATATAATATACAATATATAATATATAATATCAAAATGAGTTTTCTTTCAGAGAAGGCAAGCCAAGGAGCAAGGTGAGAAACCGCAATTTGGTTTAGTCAGCTTATTTAGGAAATAATTGGCTTACATTATTGGAATATACACAAGACCAGACTTGTTTCTGGCAAGGTCTTCTACCCATAATAGCTGTAGAACTGACCACTTCATCATTTCCTGATAACACTGTCACACAAAACTCTTCAATATACAGAAGTTCAACAAATGAAAGAAATTAATATTCCAGGTATGGATAAACAGGCACTTCTGTAAAGCTGAAGCTTAGCATCATAATTTCTATGTGGCTCTTATGGGTATGGAATTGTAGATTCCATCCTCCCAATAAAGTACCCCCTTCTATAACTATCTGTTTCATAGTCAAAACAAGAACAAGGATATTTTAAAGCATTCTGAAACATTTGTTGACAAGAGTTATTAATTCAGTCATTCCATTCATATAGGACGCCCAACTCAAACAAGTGACTGATTTTCCCCAACAGAAATAATTCAGTTCCTTTCTCCTATCCCACCATAAACCAAATGGTGATATTAATTCACATCATTTTGAAGCCATCCCAGGGATGTTAGAAGTTGTAGTGTAACACACTTTAGAAGAAAACTACCAAAGAGTTATATTTCTCCATTTCTAGTTATTCCCTCTAAACTTTAGTGATGTTTGAACCAATTTTCTCTTTTAATTGGTTGGTTTTCATTGTAGCCAGATTGGTTTCATTTCTCTGTCTGAATATTATTGTTGGATATATTATTTCTGTTGACAATTATTGATTGATTGATGTAATTTATTGACTCTTTGGCTCTGGCTGGCATAATAGATTGGATTATGGGAAGACTTAGCATTTTGAACCTTTCATGGCCTTTGTTATTGCTCTACCAAATATCTATTTATACTGCCTCCTACATTTCTAGAAACATACAATCACCATGCTTTCACAAGTAAAAATAGTGATTTATGCATGATGCAGCATGAGGAACAGGACTAAAGAAATTACTCATGTACCTTAAAATTAGATGAAATTAGATTAAAATTAGATATGATTTTGAAACAATGCCTCAGCCTCAATCTTTACATTTATTTTTTATTTTGGGCCTCAGTAAGATTTTTTCCATTGTGATCAACACTGCTTCAGCCATAGTGGTTAATATTTTATTCTGTTGGAGCTATTCCTTTTGGTTTGAAAAATACAATTCTTAAGAGGTGGGAAAATGGAAAATAAAAATAGATATGTTCCATGTGTTGGCCTATGCTTGGCCTATGCTTATATTTATAAAGCAGTCCTCTTTTTATTTTCATTTTCACAATGAAAATAAATTTTAATAGTAAAATCATGTTTATTTAACATTCAGTGAAATTTACTCACTTTTTATTTAGTATATTAACAGTTTCCTAATCTGTTAATCTTGTATCCATATATACTAAATAAGAATGCCTTTCTATACATGTGTATATTTGTGTGTATATTAGTTTATTTTATTTTGCAAAAATATTTTTTTTAATCCTACTTATACCTATTCAAATTTATATTAATTTATTAGGGCTCACTATCAAGCTACTTTTCATTGTACAATGGTTTATGTTCTTCAGTGAATTGATTCACCAGAAGTCTTCAAAGAAATGTAAAAAGATGTTTATTTTCTGGATTAGTTTGTCTTTTTTCCATTTTGTTTACAATATAAAACCCATTCAAATATATTAATTTTAGTAATTTTTTTAAAGTAATTTTAATTTTCTTTCAAATTTTTCTTATTAGAATATTAAAATATCTGCATATATGCAATATTAATTCATTCTGAAATGGAGTTAAAAACTTAAGAAGACCAATGGATTCTTTTGTTGAGGCTGTTTGCTATTAGTAATTCATTATCAACTTTTCATTTTCTACTAAATTTGGAATTTGTTGGGGAAAAAAACTATCTATAGTTTTTATGTTCCATAAATATCCAAAGATGCAGATAAATCAGGCATTAAGACTGACAAATTTGACTGATCATACCAGAATTTTGGTAAGCTTGAAACAGGATCTAAAAGTAATTTCTAAAAGAGATTTTAATTCTAGAGTTCTTACTATTCAAGAGTCTTTTATTTAAGTCACATTGTAATTGTATTATTCTATACCAAATCTTAATAATAACTTAATAATATATGCTAATGGAAAATGCTAATTTTGTTGTTTTAGAAAACCAAAAGTATTCATAATCATTTTATTAAATATTTAAAATTACTATTTAAAAAGCTAATAATTTAAAACACTACAATCTAAGAATGTGTCAGCATACAAAGTATATGTTGTTAGGTTTTTTTTTCAATATTAAAAAACTGGATACAGAAAATTATGCGAATACTGTTGTCCAGATTATTTAGGATAAGGTTGTTTCTCTTTAAAATTGACGTTCTTTTTTCATTTTCATTTTAGTTCATCTTGTTTTACTTCCCAAGCTGGAGAACATTAAGGCAAAATAATATGTCATTGATTTCTAATTGATCAGATTGGTGTATTTCAGGGGTGGGATTCAAATTTTTTAACAACCGGTTCTGTGGGCGTGGCTAAGTTGGTGGGCGTGGCTTGGTGGTCATGTTATTGTCTGGGCATGGCCAACTCAATATCACTCACATCGAGACATGCATCTCCTCGTCTGGCCTCTCGTGACTGTGGGAATGCTGCAATAGTCGTAAGTGTGAAAAATAGTCACTTTTTTCAGTGCCATTGTAACTTTGAATGGTCACTCCACACAAGCAAAGTACCATCAAAGGAGGGGAAAAAAACTCCAGAGAAGTTCCAGAGACAGGAAGTCTAGTCCTGCCAAGAATGTAAAAAGAGTTAACGGAGAGGCAGTTTCTGTAACCAACACCAGAATGTTTCCTTCCTGCCTTCCTTACAGGATTAGGCCAATAATTTCTTCTAACAAGCAGTTCTCCGAATTGCTTAGAATGTTAACAACCGGTTCCAGTGAATAGGTGTAAATACCTTATGCCACCAGACTTGAAATTCTAGACCTAGAAAACCTTGAATTATGCTGTCTTCGATCTGATCTAAGTATGGTATATAAAATGATACATTGCAATGTCCTACCTGTCAATACTTCAGCTTCAAGCATAACAACATAAGAGCAAACAATAGATACAAACTCAAGGTAAATTGCATCAAACTTGATTGCAGGAAATACGACTTCAGCAACAGAGTGGTCAATGTCTGCAATACTCTACCTGACTCTGTGGTTTCTTCCCCAAACCCCCAAAACTTTAACCTTAGACTTTCTACTATTGACCTCACCCCTTTCCTAAGAGGTCTGTAGGGGGCGTGCATAAGTGCACCAACGCGCCTACTGTCCCTGTCCTATTGTTTCTTTTATTTTTCTTATATGTACCCATTTCATGTATTCATAACTATGTATATACTTATACCTATTATCTTGTAAGCGATTCACAAATCAAAATAAAAACAAAAATAAATAAACTAGTAGAATCCCACCCCTGGTCTATTTCCATAAGATAAATTACACTGTAACACAGATTTGGTTCCTAAAAGTCATATTCAGAAGAAATATAATTGTGTTAACTGCACTCCAGAAGGGCAGGGACCATATATAGTTCTGGGAATAAAAGTTTAACAGAGCAAGGGATACTAGCAAAAAATGTTGGCCCTCTGATGCACACTCCACTAATTTGTCCCTAATTTTCAAGTCTGAAAGTACCAAAGTTCTGTTAGCTCAAAAATCCTCAGGCTCAATTATATGTTGGTCCTGATCAACATAAGTAAATTCCTAGCTAATGATATTGAAGTTGTTCACCACTATCATTAAAGTCCAGTTTTTATAGTTAGAAATACTTGAAATTAAGCAAGGGCAACTACAGGAGGGGTAAAATAAATTGCAATTTACATTCTGCCCAAAATACAATAGCAATGCATATTACAGATTTTGACACCCATTGGAAATGCCCCTGAATTTAAATATAATGTTCTAGTTGTCCTGGTGGCAGCTCTAATATCACCTTTCTGCCACACTTAGATTAAAACCTAGAAAAGTAGAATTGACCTTCAAAGGAAATGCTTCCCAGAGAAGTAGCAAGAAATATCTAATATTTTCTGGTCTAAAACACATGTTGATTTTTAATGCTTTTCACCTGTTTTGTTGAAAGATGGTCCTTGAGAATTTTGGTGAATTAACTCTGATGTTCCTGTATAAATAATGGAAGAAATAGTGTTAAGACATATGTCAAAACAGTACCTGCTGTTGTGATACGCTACACACAAAAAAGCATGAAAGATGATTTCTATGTTTAGTTGAACATACTGAACCAACAGAAGGCCATCCAAATCAAAATTTTAAAGAAATATGCTTATAGTTACCTCAGCCTAATTCCAAATACTTCAGAGACCCTAATCCTGTAAAGATTACCATATGATTTCCCAGCACTGTAACTAAGATCTTTCTAGTAATTAAATGTGATTATTTTAATCCAGTTAATCATTGGAACAACATTAAATGTAATTTGGTTTCTACAAAACATTACATTTCTAAACTAAGGTTCAAACTGTAACTGAAGTTTATGAAGTGGCTTGTACCTCACATTGTTGATTTTTTTTAAAGAAACAGTTGGAGAAGATTTGGGATGATTAAAGATTAAATCTTTAGTCTGCCACAATTCCAATCATTAGTTTTACAATAGATTAGACAAATCACTTAGATTGCCAAAAAGTGTAATAATCTTTATTTGACAAATGACCAGGAAGATTTAAAATTTAAACACAAAATTAAAATCAAATGGGTGAGATAAAATACATTAACTAGGATTATTGTAGCAACACAGAATTTGGCTACTGCACAACT